GTCCTATTAGAAATTGGTGAAACAAGAATTGGATAGGTTCACCAATGTAACAATATAGCAAGTTACTCGGGTAAAAAACACCAATGCCAATGCTTTGGCTACCTTAGCACTAGCACCTTTATAAGAATGTTCACAAGGATGATAGTGGTGGAATCCTAGAACACTGCGATCATTGATCATGTGGCCTTGAGGTAAACCATGATTGTTAAAGATATTTTAGCTTGGTGAAGTATTCTGGATATCGACACCAATAAGTTTGTATGAAAGAAAGACATTACTTGGTTTGGCATACCATGAACCTTGGTGTCAGATAATGGCTCACAATTTGATTATAACCGTTCGAAATTTTTTGTCTGAGCTATGACATCAAAAACTACTAATCTTCCCCAACTTACCTGCAAAGTAATGGTCAAATAGAGATACTAAACAAGAATATGCAAGAAGGGATCAAGATGAATTTTGAAAAATCCAAGGGAAGATAGGTAGAAGAACTGTTTAGCGCATCATATAGTCATACTGAATCATACCACATTGAGGAATAGGGGAAACACCATACGCAAAGACGACCTACGAAATGGAGGTCATAATCCCATTTGAGATTAGACTCCTAACCATCAAATTAGAATTCAATGAAGGGGGTATAACAACTTAATCATCGGAGACATGGATCTCTCCAAAGAGAGGAAAGGCCTAGTTGTTATCAGGATGACATCTTATTAGTAGCAGATGGCCGGAGCATATGATAGAAAGGTCTAGACAAGGGGATTTCTAGTCAGGGACCATGTGCCAAGGAAAAACAAAAGGCCCTCGGAGGGGAACTTCAGTGCCAACGAAGAAGGACCCTATCGAGTCACTTCAATTGGAGGAACTGAATCATATCATGTCAAACACTAGAGGGAAAGCTTATTCCGTAGCCCTGAAATGTAACTAATCTTCAAAGATTTTACTTCTAACGTACCTTTAGAAAGGTTATTTGTAATTTGAAGTGCATTGAATGTTGATTAGCCCTAAAGTACATTTAGAGTAGATGAAATTGTTATTACAATTTATTAATAAAACTTCTTGTTTACAAAGTGCTTTTGTATGGAATATTTCAACCCTGACAAGGCATGATGATTGGCCACAAAAACCTTTATGAAGGCAAAGAAGAAAGACCCAAGAATTAGATTCTGGGCAAAAAGGCACGAGAATGCTTTGGTATAATCTAACAACCTCTAACCAAAACAAAAGAACCAATCCTAGCAGCGACATGGTACCTAGCCTAAATGCATCCACCTGATCGGATTTAGGCCCAAGGCTAGGCATGATGGTTTAATCCTAAGTGGTAAAGATTTGGGACTGATAAACTCAATAAGCAGTGTCGAAAATCAAAGCCTCTATCCTAGGGGAAATGGGTAGACATTTAGAAACATTCAAAAGGAGAAATGTAATGTGCAAAGGAGAATTTTCATTAACTTAGAAAAAAATAATAAAAAATTACACATTATGAGGAGCTCGGGGAGGGGTCTTATTAAAAGTGCCTTTAACTACGACCCTAGAAATTGAAACTTCTTTGAAAGGCTTTATACTCAAGATCAGGTCGATACTGAGTCCCTTGAATAAAACCAACTCTTCTTTAAAAGGCTAGCCTTCAGGATTAGTAATTGACTCTAAAGCTCCTTCTCGGTCTTTTCCAGGCCTTCTTCATGAGCTTCTTCACAAACTTTAGAAGTAGCCTTTTCCTTCCTCTTTTTAAAGAGTCTCCAAGGACTTCAACTTCAAACCAATTTGCTCATTCTCCTCTGATAGCTTGGTCACTAAAGCTTACAGATGGATCACCTCTTCAGACAATTGGGCAATCTCATAATCCAAGCATTTAGTTTTCTCAGTCGTAAGCAACCAAGAATAGGTGGCCTCCTTCACAGCCTTCTCCTTCCTCTTGATAAGTGGCCTAACATCATTAACTTGTTGAACACCCTAATAAAAAAAGTGTAAGGCAAATGAGAATTAACACAGAAATTTACAAGTATTGGGAGGGAGGACACAACCCTAGCAATGCCTATTGCCACATCCACATTGAAATAGGAATTCTTCATTGTAATCTTTCTACCCTTAACCTTCAGGGTCCGGCACCAGATTGGGGTATTAGTGTCTTCAACTTGTTCTTCGACAATAGAAGAAGGACTAAGCTCTTCAATATCTCTCTTTCTTGCGACGTGCTTTCGTCGTAACACTTGGATGTCAGGGATAAGGAGTCTCGTCTTCGGGTTGCTCAACAGAATCTTGGGCGTCAATTGTGCTTAGGTATTAGTACAAGCTCAAGGGGTCAGGCTTAATGGACATGTCATTCTTAGAAGGGATAGTGGGGTTAGATTCAACACAACATCAATAAAATTTTTCACAACTCTCTCCCTACCGATCTCGTGTTTTTTGGATCTATGTGCCTGAGCAAATTCTCTGAGAGAAAATTTAGAAACTGCTATAAAAGAACAACAGGGAGCATGTAACCATGCAAAACGTGGCTTGTTCAGTGAAAATGGTTGGTATTGAAGGGCCAAAATTTATGAAAGGCCTCTAAGTTCACTTATTTGGAATTTTTCCCTTGAAAGTTTCACCAGCATTTACCGAAAAAAAGAATCAAAGAAGGAAAATAAAAATATATAAAGGAAAAATGTAGAAAGAGAGGTTTTAAAATCACCCAAGGCACCCTCATCATAGGTGCATATGTAATCAGGATGTTAGCCCTCTATGTGCTCCAAATTCGCAAATATAAACAAAATATTATTTTTGTGCCCCTTGTTGTAATCTTGAGGTGGGTAATTAAGTAGAGTGTTTTTTTCCTAACTTGGAAGTAGTAATTATTCTCACGTGTGGACTTGATCATATAATAATCCTAAGGCCAAGGTTAACATTAAGAAGATTATGGATGGACACCACAACGATTACTATCCTAAAGAAGTTAAGACAACAATGAATGGGGTGAAGCTTCAAGGATGCCAGAAGTCTAAGAATAATAGGATGCAAAGGAAACCTAACTCTGCCCTTAATATTTGCTTGAGCAAGGATTAAGATGGACTCTCTAAAGCCTAGAAGGGGTTCATCCTTCTTAGCAGCCCTAATGAAGATGTCATCAGAGATGTTATTCTTAGGCATAAAGCTAGGAATATCATCCTTTGTTAAGGGATTCATGAAAATAGCATAGGAGAAGAAGAAATAACAAGAAACAAATGGAAGCATATGACTTATAGAGGCTTGAAGAGCTTGAGAGAGGCAATAATGGAGGAAAAGAGAGAAAAGTCCCCTTTAACTAGAAAAGGAAGGTGCCAAAAAATGACGCAATTTTTAAAATTTAAGTGAAATTTTTTACAATAAATAAATTATGAAACACATTTAATGAAGGACATCATTATAGCAAAGAATGCCAGCCAACAATTGTCACGTGAAAAAAATGAGATGAGACAATTTGGTGAAGGCTGAGTGCCTTTGGCAAAGCCAAAGATGATTCTACTTAACATACATTAGTGTCAACATACCACAATTAGAACCAATCTCATCAAATGGTTCAGTTTGAAAAGCTCCCAAGAGTTATAAGGGAGAGTCCTCGAACGAATTTGTGCATGAGTGGAACTCTGGTTCCACAATTCAAGGAGTAAGGACTAGGTCCACTCGAGCAAAGGATAACTACACTATCGCTTATAACTAAAGGTGGTCATAAGCAACATGTAAGGAAATTTTCTATCTTAAAAGTGTACATTGTAAACATGTAAACTAAAAATTTGACTATTAAAAAAAGAAACCTGGAAAGGTTAAATTATGAATTTAGGAAGATCTAGCTAAAAAATAGGTGAGTCACTCTATTCCGAGCAAGATTCTAAACCCTAAAAATTCAATATACACACTCCTATAAATATAAGTTGAGCATAAGAAAAAGGTACACATTTCTTTCTTTAGTAATTGCTTGCTTAACTTCAGAGTCTTTAGTAACTTAAGTATCAAGGTACACATTTCTTTATCTGGTAATTGCTTGCTTAACTTCAAAGTCTTTAGTAACTTAAGTATCAAAGTGCTTCAGACTGAACAAACCCTAGTCTATAGTAATTTGTTTGTCTTGTAGTAGGAAATGAGCACCTAATTTTCTTGATCAACCATTCAATTCTTATAACAATCACCATTATTTTCACCATAAAAAAGGCACAAAAAATTTCCTTATGCAGTTTAGCGATTTTCCAACCACCTATAGGCAAGCTCTAAAACCATAGTTATTTACCATCAATTGGGATTATGAATACCAAACAATTTTCATAGAGAAAACAATAATCACTACAAGAGAAGTTGATTCCATATAAGTCCAACTTACAAAAAAAATAGTCGTCTTCCACCCTCATAGTCCTTCATGCAAATAAATCTTAGTAAAACATCACAACATGACTTCTAAATGAAAAGATCAATCTTATTAGGTGCTTTACTGGACCAAATAGCTTTCCACATATGATCATTCTGATATCTACACTTATGTCATTTTGTTTTTCTAACATAATGAAATTGATAGAATTTTTTTTTTTAACATTAATATTAGGAAAGACTATATGTGTCACACCCCATTTTTGCATAAAAATGAGAAATGTGATTTTAAAACCACAATAGTCACACTTAGGTTACTTCGGGTTTTCTTAAAGACAATGAACGTTAGGGTAAACCACATAAATTGCCCCTGAACTTTGCCATTTGTTTTAAGTCACACCCTAAAATTTTAATTTGTTTATTTTACCCCTGAACTATTTAAATCATTTTAATCAACACCTTCTATTAGATTTCATCATTAAATAGGTATAAAACATGACAACTGCAGATGGCATATATTGAAGGGAATTTTTGGCATTTCACCCATTGTGTAAGAGTTTAGGCGCCAAAATTCCCTCCCATTTCACCCAAGTGATTGATGTTTATTGCCACTGTGGAAGAAGAACAATGATGAAGACGTCATGAACTGATATTAATCCAAGCAGAAGTTTCTTCTCTTGCTACATGTCCATGGTAAGTTTCTAACATGTACAGCCTGGACTAAAACCAAGCCATGGATGTTTACTGCCACTAAGGTTCTTCTCTTGTAGGTAATTTACAGATTCTAACATATATAACATGTTCATGTACTTGTAGAATGGGGGTTGCGGGTTCTTCGATTGGTACGACCCTCCTATGTGTCCTCGTGCATGAAAAATAATCCCAGGACTTATAAAATGAGTTTCAATGGCAGAGAAACAAGCTAGCAATCAAAAAAGAAGAGTGTTTCCTATGGATTGCATTGCTAATTTCGTGGTTGGTAGTGTGGGCATTATCCAGCAATGGATCTGGTGGAGAAGCATCAACAAGCTTAGACAATCAACTTGAACTGAGTGTAAAATTTGATTAAGAGAAATTGCAAGAGAAAGTGTGGAGAAAAAAATTGTAGTTATAATGGGAATGGGAATATGAATTGCTTATATTGTATTGATGGTTTGTTAAGTTAGTAATGATGTAATGTTAATTTGTAATGGAAAGATGTGGTTGGTGTATTTGTTTGAGTTTCTTATTAGTGAGCATCTACCATATGTTTATTATTAGTAATGGATAAATGTTGACTGATATGCTTCAGATGAATCAGTACCTTCAAACAAAAGATAGAAGATGATTTTGCAATCAAAAAAATGATACTTGAGACAAAAAGCTTTGCTTCACAATAAGAGGTTCATCTATACAAAACACAACACTTGAGCCGTTGTTACAAGGTGGCTTGCACTTAGCTAATACAAAACAAAGTCCAAAAACAGAAAAAAACAAAAAAAAAAAAAAAACAAAAAAAAAAAAAAACAAAAACAAAAACAAAAAACTCCAAGAACCCAAAAACAAAAGAACATCCATCTGGAGAATTCTACACATCCTTCTAAGTAATGTCCACCTTTTTCTTTGTCCATCTTACAAAATACTTAGTCACTAGGCAAGCTATTTATTTGAATGTCCACCATCCTTTTTCTTTTTCTCATTGCTTCAGCTTTTTTTTTTTTTTTTATGTAGTGATGAGAGTGTTACAACCCTCTAACCCTCAGATGAGGATGGCCTACCCTCATTGGGATGATGAGATTGCGGAGGTTGTGACATCCCTGGCCTCACATAAAAACGACCATGAGCTGTTGAATATGACCATGCTACATTTGTGCTTGATGTCTGTGATTGAATCGGGATTGAGCTTGATGGTTCATTGGCTTTAAATCATTTTTCCTACATTTAAATATAACATTTGAGTATAAAGGCAAATATGATCATAACAAATAACTAAGTATCACAAGTAGTAGACACTTACAGGCAATTTAGGTCTTCTACCACCTGTAGCATTAGTTGAAACAGTTTTTTCCACCCTTGGTAGACTGTTTGGTCCTCTACAACTTCTTCGGTTGTGGCCAAAGTTACCACATTTGCTACATGTCATCTTAACTCTTTTCCAACCTAATTTCCCAACTTTTGGAGGCTCATCAAATTATCTTCTTCTGGCTTTCTTTGGTCTGTTTAGTTGCACATGAGCTATAGGTGGATCTAGGGGTATTTTTCCTGTTGGAGGCCACAAATCACTTCCATTGATAGGATGTAATACATGGTCATATGTCTTTAAGTACGTCTCTTTCTTTAAATCGTCATCAACAAACAAGTGAGGGTCTCTGCAATGATAGTGAATTGCTGACACAACATGAGTACATGGAATTCCCCTAAGGTCCCATTTCCTACAACTACAACTTCTATCTCTTATGTTTATGACAAACTGAGCCCCATCAGAACATAAAACTTAAAAACTATGCAAACCATTAAACCTGGCCCTGCAATTCTTGGACTCTTGGATTATTTTCTTTAACTTCTTTTTAACTATTGGACAATTATGACTAGGCAACCTAAGCATTATATCTCTCCTCTGCATCCTTTCCATCAACAAGTTTTTAATAGTCTCAAGCAGTGTGATTATTGGCTTTTCTTTGGCCTCTAAAACAAACTTATTGAAGGATTCACAATGGTTGTTCAAAAGGTGAGTAGATTTAGGAATGGTAGAGAAGTGCAATAAACTCCAATGAAA